TCGTCTGACGTTGTGAGACGAAGAATTTGTTGTGATTGTGTTGTCCATGCTTCCCTCCTGTAATGCTCTCCAACTTTGTTGTCATACAGATTCCAGGGTGGGCATTTGAACACCCTACGACTGCCTCGGAGCCAGTGGATGTCTAGCGTGAACAATAGATGGCCGATGTCGGTGATTCGACATGATTGAGACCCCGGAGTGACCACTCACACAGGATGGAGGAGAAACTGATCACGCTCCCAGTCTTCAAGCAACATGGAAGACTGGCTTATCCACCCAGAAGCAGCTCTCATCGGCTCTACAGCTACTGTCTCTACACCGCAGGTTAGACACCCTAGAGCAGCACTGCTTCTCTAAGCAGACACCAGCTCCTCTTCCTGCCCCAAGCACCACGTCCTACCGACCCCAGCACACCCGTCCTGCCTCAGACGCCGCCCCCGGCCCAGCAGTACCCCTTGCCGCTCCTAATGCAGCCCCTGCTCCCGACGCGGCCCATGCGCCTGAGTGCGGACCAACACACCCCTCTTTTCTCCCTCAGGTACTCCCTGCTACTGTCCTGCACCCTGCTGCTGTCGTGGACCCAGCTGCTGTCACGAGCCGTCATCCGCTTCTGCTGACGCAGCCCCTGCTCCTGACCTAGGCCCACACACCCCAGCAGGCGCATCTGACGACTCTGTATCTGCCGTGAGGGAAGCGCAACATTCATCGCCTCCACACACCCTTTTTCTCCCTCTCTACTCCCACAGATATTGTGTATCTAGACAGTTGTCTCTAGCGGCCAGCTCATCCACGCCATCGCCGTTATGTTTCACATGAGGCATGCACCGCCCGTTCTGCCTCACATGTGCCATGCACCCCTGCAGACAACAAGTCTCCTACACCGCCTGGAGGGAAGGAGGGAGTATTGTAGTGGATTTTTCCCCTACAAACTCTGTTTGTCGCTGAGTAGCCTACCCCGCGAATTCCACAGTGTGTGCCTCGTGGTCTGGGTCAACCAGCGCCGCCATACATCACGGAGGTCAACTACTAAGCCACGCCTACCCCCGCTATTTAAGACCTGACCTCGTGGTGATCTCTCTTTCTACCTACACCAACCAGCCAGCAACACCTCCTCCTCCTCCGCCTGCCTGGCGGTCCTCGCTCCCGCCGGCGAGCATGGCTACCCACAAGCTGTCCTCCTCTGAGCACCCTCACCAACCAGCTCTCTCTACATCACGCTTGTAACCATGCTGCCTTCCCAGCACCAAGCTGCATTGTACATCCAATACAACATTTTTACCTGAGAGCACATTGTGAGTTTCCTTTCTCCATCCCATCCTGAGTGTGAACCAAACAACCTATTCCCCACAAAGTAACTGGCATTAAGAACTATTTTACATTGCCTTACCACCCTAGAGGTAATAGTGTCACAGAGAGAATGCACAGGACCTTTAAAACAACACTTGCAATCATGTGTGAAGATAATCCACTTCAGTGGCCAAAATTTCTCAGTCCCGTGCAGTCTGCTCTGAACACGTCTGTCCATGCCACAACTGGGGTACAGCTTCATTTTGCTTTTTTTTCGAGGCATGTACAAAGACAAGTAGGAATTGACTTACCTATAATAGAGAATGAGAGCAGTCAAGAGCTGAAAGAAGCCCATAGGTTGATAAAAGAGACGTCTGCCAGAATGTCACGAGAGACCAGAGAGAGAGCAAATAGATCAAGAACGAACCAAACTATGCAGTTAGGAGAAACAGTATGGGTGAGGAATGAATGGCCCAGCCCTGGGGCCAGTAGGAAGTTGAATACCAAGTGGACTATAATACTATAACAGAAATTATACGAGATGGTGTCGCGTATAAGTTGACTAACCCCTTGGATGAAAGTGAGGTGATAAAGAGGGCGGCTGAGAAAGTAAAGAGGTATGCAAGTAGAGACATGTTTGTTCAACTGAATGAGCCCCTACTTCCACCTTATGATTCTTCCTCGGACTCAGGTTCAGACGAAACATATGAGGAAAGTGATGACGGAAATGTGGACGGTCAACCTGCAAGTAGATTCCCTGTGAGGCAGAGGAGACCAGTAGTTAGAATGGATTTGTATGAAATATAGTTCCAGGATGTTGCTTCAATTGAATATATTTGGCTATCCAGTTGGTTAGGTTGATTTGTTGAATTATAACGTTTTTGGTGGGGGAGACGGTTGCTCAGGTGGTTTGTCGGATTAATATTTTTTGTGGGTGTTGACCTCGTCAGTGGAAATAAAGTCACCCCAACATTGTAAATCCCAGTTCTTACGAACTGAAGTCCGGAGATCCAGTTGCTGCCAATGTTGTCGAATGGAAAAATCTCAGTTTATGTGTGTCGGAAGTTTTTTTTGGGGTTGTTGACTCACTCCGGGTCAGGGAGTCACCCCGACCTTGAAATTCCAGTTCTTCTGAAATGTGAGATAGAAAATGCGTGTTTTGTGTTATGAGCCCCAATGTGTACGTATAGAACCACGGTTTTGTGTTGAAAAGGTGAATTATTATTGAAACAAAGTAGTAATCTGAGGAAGTGTCTGATGCAACTAATTCCCCATTCATAGACAAGAATTTAAATTCCTTAGTATATGTAATTTCTTGCAGAGAACTTTGTTGTATATGTAATGTCAAAGAGTCACTGTTTATGTGTTCGTGCCAAAAGTATGTTGAGGTAATACTCTGATGAACTGTAAGGGGCATGTTCCCTATACTATATTGTACTGAAATAAGGATTGATAAGTTGTTGCATGTATAGGTAACGGAGACTCGAGTATGAAGAGTTTGTCTCCTTATAATGTTCTTTTTAATGATATACTGTGTACTGAAGTAGCAGGATTGTAAACGATTGTCCGATGTATATGGGAGCGGAGACGCTTGTGGGAAACGTTTAAGTCTCTTTATGTTTTTTTTAATGTATGTATTAAGGTACAGTGGTCCCTCGGTTAACAAACGCCTCGGTTAACGAAATTTCGGTTAACGAAATGCCTCCCATAAGATTCTTAAATTCGGTTAACTAACAAAAATTCGGTTAACGAATTTTTTACGAACCAACCTCAACATGTTTTCGCTTGCACTGGCCGGTCAACCAGCTTTAGTATTAGTCCGCCAATATATTAATCGGTTCTAGGGCTTAAATTCCTTACTATTTTAGTTAATATCAAGAAGTTAATACTATTCAATAATTTTAAAAGTTTAATATTAACTTTTTTAGTCATTTTAACAATTATTGAACATAATTGAAGGTAAAGAAACTAGTTTCTGGCGTGCCATCCAGCCTGTTAACACACCAGACAGACATTAGTCTCTCTGTTTTCAGTGGAGGTAACATCTTGCTTGAGACTCTCTTCAACTAAACGCTTTTTTTCTGTGTTTCCAAGCAAATTATTTGTCATTTTGAAATATATTTTACATATTGACAATATATAATGCAGTGCAGTGTTGATTTAAAGAAAATAATCTTGAAATACACCAAGAGAACTAAAATTTTATGGGTGAAATGGTGCCATGGGGTGACTTCTCTTCCACCCCAATGCCTTTTCTTCTTCCTTCTCCTCCACCTCCCACTTCAAATGCACATCATCATCATCATCCAGGAGCCTTCTACATACACACCTCAAAGTAAGTGAACTTTTCTACCATTTTTGTTGAATTTAGGCAATTTTTGGTGAGCTGGAACCATTTACCCAAAAACCCATTGAAACAATGGTTTCGGTTAACGAATTTTTCGGTTAACGAACAACCTGCTGGAACGGATTGTGTTCGTTAACCGAGGGACCACTGTACTGTAATCACGAACTGTTAGGATGTTGTAAAATGTATGTACACTACAGCGTTAATGCTTTTACATATTATTCCACATATGAATCTTTGGGAGGGGAAGGCTATGTACTGCACACATCATTGTCATTCCTAAAAACCCCATTTAATTCATATTACGCTATATAACACTCAAATCCACCGCACTTGTAGAATCTCAGAAAACAGGAAACATTGATAAAGGATAACTCACCTACTCAAAGTTACTAGACCATGTGTTGTATTGTAGCGTACTGTCGTGGCAGGTTGTCAGGGTCTCGTATTTGGCCTCACAACGTACGTACATGAAATATATCCAACACTCAGGATTGAGGTAGAAATAGAAAATCACATGTTTTTCGTATATATATTGTTGCACAGCACAGTGTTAAATAGATACTAAGTCGGGCGAAGCTTGCTCAGAGTTCCTGTAGGGCGAGGAGCTTTCTGAGGGAGCGTGTGTATGGAGCTGTTGAGGGATGTTGCTTGTTGGTGGCGGTAAGTAAAGAATGATGAAGGCCAGGTGAGGTCTTATATAACCGGGGTAGGCGTGGCTTGTTGGAAGGCCTCCGCTTTGTTGGCGTCGCTGGTTACCTTAGAAATGTAGGCATAAAATACACTGCAAGTATTTTCTTTAATTTATAAACTTACTTCGCAAGACGATTGGTAGGACTGGCTGTTTACTTCGGCAGCCGCTAGTTGCGTGGATACCTGCGTTTATTTTGGTGTTATTTTACGGTATGTTAGGCATGTTTATAATATATTTTCATTATCTTAATATACCTGTAATCTTATTTTTAATCCAGCTTCCCAAATGTAAGTTTCAGTAGAAAATAATTAGTGGTAGGACCATGGGATTAAGGCAAGTGTTTTACGAAGTTCTCTATCACCACTGGTGACACACTAAGCCACGGGATGTAGAGGTTCGGATTTTATACCCGACGTTTGTGACGACCCCTAATTTTGGGCCGATTTTTTTTAGTTTCAAATTCCGTCTTATACAGTAATTCTTAATTTTGTTACTTCACAGTCTTTAGAAAATACAAAACCCAATCACCATTTAAGCATTATAAACAGATTATTGACATTTACATAAAGCCTTCTTTTATGGTTTTAGGATATGCATGATAAATGTTACCATTTCATATCATTTGTATTCTTCTAGATGTAATATGGAAGTTCGTGACAATGAGAAAAGTACAACTCAAGCTTTGTTTATTAACAATATACCATTACATAATATTTAATTCCATTTATACAATGCATACACCTTTTAACAATGACAACCAGAGCTATCCACAGAAGTATCTTGGGAGATGGAAAGCACAATTTATTAATATGGAATGTTTTATGTTGAAACAATTTATCAGTTAGTGTCTAGCCATGGGAGGCATCACCAAATATCAAATTTATTGTTCTACTCCTACAAAATAAAGAATGAAGTTGTTCAAGTGTACTTTAAAGTTAGACTTCCCTTGTACTTCAACTTAACCCATGGCTAAGGCAAAACTAACCAACTATAAATACAAATTGCTAAACTATGTAGCCCCCATCCCCACGTTGGGGAAGTGGGTAACTCTTGTGCTCCAATTGCAAATGGCTGCCAGCCAACAGTCTTATGACAAGACTGTCACCATCAGCACACTGACAGAGCTATACATGCATCCCAAAAGAGATGTCATTTGAACAACTACCATGAACACTTGTATTATTCACAAGTAATGGGTCACATGCAAAGCAGCCATCAGCATGTCAGTGAGTACATCTTGTCTGTTTCTTTTAACTCACAACCACCAAGTTGGGAACTAGAACTTAAATACTGGATGGCTATCTAGGGGTGACTGTCACACCACATTACCATTTGCAACTTCACCTTTGCAACCCCCCAATAAAACTTATTTCTTCTATCAGTTCTTAAATAGTTGTATTATATATACTTTGAATTTTTATTATAACCATAAACCATTAACATTATAGATTCATTAACTAGGGTGTTGAGGCTAATTGAGAGAACAACCCTGGCCTACTTTCAAGGCAAATCCAACTCAAGTAGCAACTCCTCACCCTGCAGATGGCCACACTGGTCTTTCCTCAACAAGTACTTACCCCATGTCTACATGTGGCTATCAACTAGGGTTGGTAAACATTTGATCAGATCAACACACTCCAGCCTGATAGCGGCATTCTGGCTATAAAATGACCCTAACTTGTTTGTACCAAGCCCTCATCTTGTACCTGATCTACCAACCCACAAACTGTCATGGGAACTGATATATGTAGAGCACTAATGGCATGAAGCTATCTGGAGGAAGAGGAGAGAAGACACGAGGACACATGATTTACATTTATACAAAAATGATTATGTCACAGTACTGCTGTACACAAAAGGTGTTACACACACCCTTTAATCTACAAGCATCCACATTAGTAAAATGCCTCCAACTGTGTTCTTTATTTATCTTATATAAATTATAATAAAAATCTAAGAACTGAATATAACCAAAAAATAATATCTGTACCAGAGGATGTGTGTAATTATTAATTTAATTTACTTAAGATATAATCCAAATGATTAAAAATCCCCAACAGAATACAGGTGGGCCCCTCAGTATAAATGCTGGCATAGATAACTCTTCCACTGATGACTGGGATGCTGGAGGACTAATATCTGGATGCTGGTGAGGGCTCCACAACTGCTGCACCTCTGTTCATTTAGCTGGAGGTCTTGGTGTACAGGAAAATGGCAACAATCAGACCATAAAGACCAAGTACCTGGGGAGGGAGAAACCAAGAACCCCATGTTAAAACTTGCCATACTTCACCACACTATTCTCCTACTTATTCATTATCCCCATCCTGATGCCTTTACATCACTTAACACACCAAAGTTCCAGTTCCTCAAACAACAATACAGTTCAATGAATGTTACATAAATATGTAATACTTGTTACATACACTATAACCACAATATTTAAAGACTATCTTTAGGAGCTTACAAACAGGCTTGCAATTCTGTATTTTTTTATTCTATTTTTAATTTTTTTACGGGGAATAGCCCACCTTTGCACATGTCTGAAGTATTTGCACCATAAAAACCAATAAAAGCCATACACTGAAATCTCCGTCAGCCAGAACTCTGATAGCCAGAATTGAAATTTGCTCTGAATTTTCCTGGAAAATTCCGGGGTTAGGAACGATTTCTTAAGTTGAAAATCAGGTGCATTTTCCGAAAACTTTTCCCATTAGTGGTCCCTCGGTTAATGAAATATCGGTTAACAAATTACCTTCCATAAGAATCTTCATTTCGGTTAACGAAATTCTTACGAAATGTTTCGACATGCTTTGGCTTGCTCACCAGCTGGAAGATTAGTCCACCAATACAGAAATCGGTTCCAGGGCTTACATTCATTAAAATTGGAGTAAATATCAAGAAGGTTGTACTATTCAATAATTTTCCAAGTTTTATATTAAAATTTTTAGTCACTTTAACACTTATTTAACATAATTGCAGTACAGGGAACTAGTTTTTGGTGCACCCATCAGCCACTTCACTCACCCACCAAGGCCTCAGTTTGTATCTCTGTTCAGTGGAGGAAACATCTTGCTTGTGGGTCTCTTGAACACAAGTATTTTTACATTTTTACAGTACAATTATTGGTCATTCTGAAATTTATTTAACATATTGACAATATACAGTGCAGTGCAGAGTTGATTTAAAGAAAATAATCTTGAATTACACCTAGTGAACTTAAAATTTTATGGGTGAAATGAGGGCATCAAGCATGGGGTGATTTCTCTTTCACCCCTACTTCCTTCTCTTCTCCCTTCTCCACCCCTACTTCTAATTCCCATCATCATCATCATCAGGAGCCTTCTACATACACACCTCAAAGTAAGTGTACTTTATTGCATTTTTTTTTACTTTGTATGTAATTTTCGGTGAGCTGGAACCAATTACAGTAAAAGTCCAAAAATCCGGATGCCATAAATCCGGACCACCCGAGAATCCGGACTTTTCAATAACTTTTTTTTTAAGCGAGCTTTTGTGTGTGTGTGCGCATGCGTGAGCGCCACAGCTGCACAGCGACAACAAGCGACCAAGTGGTCGCCACTTTAAAACGAGCAATCAAACTGTGACAACATACCGTATATACTCGTCTATAACCCCCCTCGTTTATCAGTCGACCCCGATTTTTTTACCAAGAAATCGTTAATTTATGATATTCCTCGTTTATAGTTCGACCCACGTTTTTGAGGGTAATGGAACAACAAAACCTTCGGTAAAAATGCTCTACGTCCTATAAACTGAGGCTAGCCGTGCATGAAACACAAGTGCTGAAGGCAAATTGGTTACCATTTATTATTACAACACTTTACACTGAAACGCGGGTAGTTTCAACAAAAATATTGTATATTTCCATTCAAGTCAATTAGGAGGGAATATTATTGAAATACAACAGTTTTTTAAATAAACCATTCAAAAAGCGATTACGGTAACATCTTTTGAACGAAAGAAAGCGAAAGTCATTGTTTTCGTCACGATTTTATCCCACTTTCCACTGTAATACGCATGTAATTTCAGGAAAAATATTACATTTCCGTGAATGTATTATATCAAGCACAGTATGAATAGAATATCATTGTAATATAACAGCATTTTAACCGAAAACTATTAAAAAAACGAGTAACATCTCAAGAACATCGGAAGCTTAGGTAAAGTCTTTTGTTTCCGTCATGTATTTTATCCTATTTTACATTGAAATACGTCACGTTTCCGCAAAACTACTATTCCGAGAATATATTCATTCAGGCGCAGTTTAGGTAAAATATATGTGTGATGTAATAGCTTATTAACTGAAAACGATTCGAAAAACATGTACCCTCTAGCCCTGTTCAAAGAGAGGACTGGGAGAAGCTGTTTGGTGCTGCAGACGATGACAAGGAAAATGATTTTGATGGATTTTAATGAAAATATTCAGAAATATGGTATTGTAGTATTTATTCAAGTCAATTAGGATAGAATATTATTGTAATACAACAGTTTTTGAACTGAAAACCATTCGAAAAGCGATTACGGTAACATCTTTTGAACGAAAGAAAGCGAAAGTCATTGTTTTCGTCACGATTTTATCCCACTTTCCACTGTAATACGTACGTTCAGCAAAAATATTACATTTCCGTGAATGCATTATATCAAGCACAGTATGAATAGAATACCATTGTAATATAACAATATTTTGAGTCCTACTCTTTCCATTTACAGAGTACTGTACAAGCCCATAATAATGGCTCCTAAAGTAGATAAACTTCGTTGTGTGAAGAGAAAGAAGAACACGTTGAAATTGAGTGACAAACTTGAAATAATTAAGAAACTAGAACGTGGTGTGAGCAATACTGTTCTAATGGAAACATACGACATTGGAAAGTCTACAATTTATGATATATAAAAGGCAAAGAATAAAATTTAGAATTCACAGCTTTTTCATTAAAACTGCTGGTTTTGATAAATGAATCATGCTATATTTGCTAATGAATAAACTATCAAAATGTACTTGTTCATCTCTTCTTTATTCTTCCTTAAATTTGAATTTTAAAAGTACTGTCTGAGAATCCAGAAAATCCGAAAATCCGGACCGACCCGATCCCCAAGCAGTCCGGATTTTTGAACTTCTACTGTACCCAAAATCCCATTGAAATAATGGTTTCGGTTAACAAAATTTTTGAATGACCTTCTGTAACGAACTGTACTGAAGTATACACTTAATGTAAGATGTACTGAAGTATACACTTAATGTAAGATGTACTGAAGTATACACTTAATGTAAGATGTACTGAAGTACAGTGGGGTATGCTATAACGAACGGATCCTACTACGAATATTCCTATAACGAACGGTTTTACCTATAAAATTGAAAATGCTATAACGAACGAAACTCCTACAACGCACATTATTTAAAAAATTTTTTTTTTACTAATTTATTGTTTTTGTATTACAAGTATTAATGATATTCTTTATTTCAGGGGTTTAGATGCATATTTATGCACTTTTTTAAAATTTTTACAATTTTATATTATATTTTTCAGTGTTAAGTGGTTGTATTTGGGGGCCTGGAACGGATTAATCCTATAACAAACGAATGCTATAACGAACAAGGTTCTAGAACCAATTAGATTCGTTATAGCATACCCCACTGCATACACTTAATGTAAGATGTACTGGGCCTGGATGTACTTAAATATTTAAGTCACTTAAGTCTTTGCTGGTGCTCATACCTCTCTGCTATCACACTAAGTCATCTGTCTAAGACCATATGCACAAAGCAATTTAAGAGCGCTAAAATTTGGGATCTTGGAATTTGTCTTAAGTCCACTCCTGAGTTGTCTTCAGTGAGCAAACCGGCTCTGCATTCACTAATGGGCAACACCCCTTTTAGTCGTAGCGTGAGGTCTTTTGTGAATTTTGATCATGTAATTGGAAATGTATGAGATCTGTCAACTAAGTTTGCGAACTTAATTGACACTCATATACAGTATAAATAAATATAAAATAAAGGAATAAATAAACCTCAGTTGTCATTTTGATGATTCGCAGCTAATATAGTGTGGCCATAGCAGTGTGATGAATGTGATCTAAGTGTATTTAAAGAATAGTGCTACTGCATCATAGCATCCGCTGTGATTGGCTGACCAGAAAAAATATTTGATTGGTTGACAGATGTCAGCTGACGCGGCAAAATTCAGCCTTAAGTCACGAATGTCTTGGGCTATGACAATCTTATTTTTTTTTTCAGCATGTGTGATTTTTATTGTACTACAACAAACTTTCAGGTAATGTATAGACCATCCTTTATCTACACAGCACACCTTTAATTCATTTTACTTAAAAACTAAACTCACCTCAGCAAAGATAAGAATGAGAATCATGCCAACATACAGACGAGGTTGTTGAGCAGTTCCCCTCACACCGGCATCTCCAACAATTCCAATAGCAAACCCAGCTGCCAAGCCAGAGAGACCCACAGACAGACCAGCACCCATATGCACAAAACCCCTGTAAATATAAACATGTTATGAAAATTGTATGTTAACAGTGGAAAAAAATCATGTCTCAAAGTTAAAAAGTTTCAAATGGTAATAAATTTTATAAGGTCACCCTAAAAACATTTATGACCCAATGTGGAAGTTTGGTGTGAATAACTGATCCATGACTAACACACACTTGTTGAGTTATCATTCAACAGTAACATCTTGAGGCTCTCATTTTTTCCTTTTCTGCTCTTTTACTTTTATCCTCTTCACCACTGATTGGCTCGATAGCCGCTTGGGCGATCGGTCACGTCTCTAATACACACTGTTGGCAAGTACTGGGCATGCACCGGCTGCTGAATGTACCTGAGCCTGCTCCAGTGTTGGTCAAGTAGAGTCCTGAAAGAGCTCACACTTGATGCAAAGCTTTACAAATTGTCCTCAGATGCTAAATTTTTGAGCTTCCAATTTGCATGTAAAATTAACCAATACTACTCTAACGTACAAGCTACCACCACTTCTGACTAAACTTACATTCCTACATTCTTACAGTTCTTCTAGTCATCTATCAAGCAATTCTTGTGAAGAACACAATCTGGTATTGTTCATGTTATATCTGTGTACCAAGTTTTTATTTCTTTCTAATTAAAAACAAATTCATGCCTCCCATTTGAAAATGTTTTTCAACATAAAGTACTGTACCAGTACGTATTCAAGTACAGTACACATATAGTACTGTACTTTATTTCTATTTTGAATTGTCATTTGCACACTGCACGTTTGTAAGTGATATCCAGACAGAGATACAGGATGTTAAACTTCCTAAAAAAAAATTATCATGCCTTCAAACTTATATTTTACCTGTTAATAACACTGACAAACCTTGTACGCATTTCATCAAGTTCTGAACATTACATATTTATGGCAGACATGAGGAAAAAATCAACAACACAGCACTGGTTAGTTTAGAATATCTCAAATGGTTTATTGCTGGAGATAGTTACCAATGTTACTCTCTTTAATTAAGAAGAGGAACTAATCCATTCCCCAAAATATAGCTTTTAAAGGCATCTCATTTCATCCATACTGGAAAAAAAGATATTGTAATAAACATGTTCAAGTCATCAAAATGTTGTAAAACTTGTAAACAAAAACTCACTGGTAAAGAGTGTATTCAGGGACTTCATCCAGCTTGCCAGCAATTAGCACAGCCACCACTAAGCCATAGATAGCAATGATACCTGCCATGACAACAGGAATGATGCACTTCATGATCAACTCCGGCCGCATTACTGACATGGCTGAAATTCCCACTCCTGATTTGGCAGTGCCATATGCTGCACCAAGGGCTGTTGATCACAAGAGAAGAAGACATTAGTGAAACATATGTGGTGCATCACAAGGAATGTTCACTGTTGGCATTTATGAAACATGCATACATTACACACTGGCAGTTGTCTACAATGTACCAGCACTTGAAATACAGTCATTGTCAGTTACATAAAACCGTTCAAATCCCTTTTCATATTCAGTATGGCAGTAGGATTGACTGAACAATCAGATGTATTCTGTTATGAAGTTCCCTTCCACATAAGAGACCCAAGATATGTATTATACATTATTTGGTTTATCCACATTACTTCATATAGCACACAAGCAGCACATCAATCCCCATGTCTATCTGATTTTCTCTTACACACTACTGCTTCCTGCTTCCCTTCCCACAAAATTCCACTTTCTCAACCATTTCACTCCATTTACAAAACTCTAAATACAGGCATCTCCATGGTTAATGTCATAGTATTCCACTCAACTAACTTCTCTTGACTATTAAAAATTGTATTCCATCTTAGTATGCAGGGGCCACTGGTCGTAGTTAGTGTCTCCACGCTCGTCCACCTTAGCCTCCTTAGTCGTCAAAACTAAATATTGTGCGGTAAGATTCACCCAGTCTATTATCTCGCATGATCTGCTACTTCCTCCCCTGAAGCCTAGTCAGCTTCCTTTGTTTTGAGCTAACAAATCACAAAAAATTGATTCAGATAACCATTTCATTTAGCTCGTCATTAACAATAATGGTTCCTGTCAGGTGCTCCTTGACAGAGTAGTACACTAACTCTTTTGTCTGTAATTTGTAAGGAAAACCACAAAATATGTGACAATTGTGTTAAAAAGGTGTGTTGGTGGTGGTGGTAAAACTGGCAATGCAACACAGTTCAACTGTGACAAGCTGTTCCCAGGAATCCTCACCAAATACTGTATGGTGTCATCAAGCACGGGCCATTTAAAAAAAAAAAAATTTCCCGGTTGTTTACCCATACAAACTGACCATTTAAGTAAATAAAAAGCACCATCTTTTTAGTAACTTGGGGGAGAGGCTTTCCTGGGTCTAACCATGAAATGTCAGAAGATATTGTATACAGGTACAGTACAGGTATCCTTCATTTAATGAATGAGTTAGGTGCCTTGAAAATCATTCTGTGAATTTTTATATCTTGAAAAACAGAAAAAAATTGGAAAAATAGGATTCGGTTTCCCAATGACAACAAAACCACAATATCATAACCAAAAAAATTTGAAATCAGTTAATGAACAACAAAAAACTTACCAAACTAATGAAAAGCACTAAGTGCATCTACTGTAATTTACTATACCCTATACAGTATTCCTTTAAAGCTCGCTGGGGTTAGGTAAAATGGACCCCGTGAGAAAGCAAAATCCTCGAGTCTTTCATGCCAGTCCCAAGAGTGTGCAAAATACATATACAGCTACTCCTCAACTTACGACCACCCGGACATATGACCGCCCCAGTCGTACCAATTTTTTTTCAAATTGCGTATTTTCGAGTCCCGACGTTAGTGATTGCGCTGTGTACTGACAGTTTTTTTTTTAATTCCCTTTAAAATGGCTGGCATGCTTAAAAGTGAGAGTTTTGTAGTGCTGAGAAGAAAAAGAGACACCCATTTTAGATTTCTATGTAATATTTTCGAATTTTCGACTTACGACCTGGATTTGGGTCCCTAACCCCGTCGTAAGGCGAGAAGTGGCTGTACTGTATAAATAGATATACTGTATGCACATGTATAGCAACATTATGTATGCAAATACAAAATAATAAATATGAAATAAATAAACAAACATGAAATAACACTGTTCGACATTAGGTCCACACAGTGTTAAGAGTTGTGGTAGTGACAATGCAAAGACAATACCTCTGAAACGTCAGCTGATCTGGTGCACAGAATGTAAACAATCCCAGTACTGGACAGTTCCTAGTGAACATGCCTGGTATCAAAAGTATTTGTAACATGTATACCGTAGGTGCCTACATGTATAATTACATCCTTTTGTATTAAATAAGGTAAAATTTATTAATAATACCTACAAATATTTGATAATAGGTCCATAAAGTGATAGTGAGAAACATGAGATACCCAGTGACTTGGCTTTGCCAGTACAGTAGTCTATTAAATCTGCAAAAAAAAATTTCCCAAATATTCCTTGCTAATTATAGGGTGCTTCTTATGACCTGGTAAATATGGTGCTCTGTACTGTCCTGTAGTGTTGACTCCTCTTGATCTGTGGCACACAGCCTCAGATTTTTTATTTATTTTCCGTGGCAATCCGTGAGTTTACAAGGAATGCAAGCTTTAGAACCACGAGCTTTAAGGGAATACTAGTACATTAAGTCCTCGTTTAACGTTGCCCCCCGATAGCTTTGTTTCGTTATAACGTCGATATTCTTTAGATACCCATGATTCGGATAACGTCCCGCCGATTCAGTATAATGTCTTCATGGACTTTGTAAAGCGCATCACCCTCTCTCAGCTTGGTGCGCTACGCTCTCACTCTCGGAGCATCACAGCGTCCCCAGTCTTTGTTAGGCTTCCACAGCGTTCGTGCGTGTTTAAGTGTTTTTGCTCTTAATACTGTACTCCAACCATTCGAAATGGCTTCCAAGCGCCCATCAATTGCTACTGATGCTAGTGATATAAAGAAGCAACATAAGACCATTAGCCTTGCTATGAAAATGGAGCAAACAGCAGCGGAGGAACCCAATCAGAGCGGGAGGAGGAGCCACCCGCTGGGTCTCAGTGACTCACTGCAACCCGCCTCTCCACTACCCACCACACACTCTCTCCACCACCTCCATCCATAAGCGAGTACAATTAAAAATTATTATTTATTTATATACAGTGATCCCTCGGTTAACGAGTTGCCTTCCATAAGATTCTTAAATTCGGTTAACGAGCAATCCCTCGATTAACGAGTTTCTTACGAGCCGACCTCAACATGATTTCGCTTGTATTTGGCGGTCCACCAGCTGTAGTATTAGTCTGCCAATACAGTAATCGGTTTAAGGGCTTAAATTCCTTACTATTTTAGTAAATATCAAAAAATTTATACTATTCAATAATTTTAAAAGTTTAATATTAAATTTTGTAGTCATTTTAACAATTATTGAACTAAATTGAAGGTACGGAAACTAGTTTCATGCGCGCCATCCAGCCTGGCAACACACCAAACAGGCGCCAGTCTGTCTTTTCAGTGGAGGTAACATCTTGCTTGAGACTCTCTTCAACTAAATGCTTTTTTTCTGTGTTTGCAAGCAAATTATTGGTCATTTTAAATTTATTTTACATATTGACAATATATAATGCAGTGCAGTGTTGATTTAAAAAAAATAATCTTGAATTACACCAAGAGAACTAAAATTTTTGGGTGAAATGGTGCCATGGGGTGACTAATCTTCCACCCCAATGCCTTCTCTTCTCCTCCAACCCCATTCTAATTCCCATCATCATCATCCAGGAGCCTTCTACATACACACCTTAGAGTAAGTGTACTTTTCTACCTTTTTTGTTGAATTTAGGCAATTTTCGGTGAGCTGGAACCAATTAACCCAAAACCCATTGAAACAATGGTTTCGGTTAACGAGCAACCTGCTGGAACGGATTGTGCTCGTTAACCAAGGGACCACTATTTTCTATAAAAATGCCATTGAATTTCTGTATATGTAATGCATTTTATGAGGCAAAGGGAAGCTGGGGAACATAACCCCCGTACTTTATCTATATATTATGACGAAAATTTATTTTGTTAACGTCGCAGTTTTCAGGAACGGAACCACGACATTAAGCAAGGACTTACAGTATGTACCTTTATGTTTTTTACCTTATGATAATTTTTTCCATATTCTGTATGTAGGATCGTGTGTGCATGAAACCGAGTATAAATAAAATATAAATAAAATATAATGAAAACGGTAAGTTTAACTACCTGAAATTATGAGCTGAATAATAACCATGAAGTAGCTTACAGCTCGGCCCAGTAGCAAAAGTCTAATATGGTAACAATGCCATCAATTATGTTAAATTTAATACTTGAATAAGCACACCACCCTCAGCTGTGCATTCAAACAAACAAGCTGAATGGCAGAAGAGATTACAGATAAACCTTGATAAAATATGTCTCGTTCAGCAATATTCCACTTAAACGACGTTCATAAATTAAGACCACCTCGCTATATACAATAAAAAAAATAGCTTTAATTATATCTATTGAATATCCATTGGTCAGGAAAAAAATCATCGATGGTGCAAATTATGGGTTGTATAATGTAACACCTTGATAATTTAGCAAACATGGAGCTCTGACCTTGCAGAATTATACCAAATTTTGACTTATTTATGCACTTCCCCTACAAAAACACAACCAAAAAAAAATTATCGGCCCATATGCAAATAATTACTAATTTTCTAAAAGTAACACTTCTTTTTTAAGGAAACCTACCTAATTTCCTAGCAGGGAGGGCCCCCCCCCCCCCAATTCCCCACCATATGAAACAAAGTATACATATTTTTATATGAAAAATGAAGGGTCATGGGTAAGTTTTTGTTTCAGTCATCCAGTGATTTTTTAGGATTTTATGTTTTGGAACCAGTATTTTAGACAATCCTAAGACACTTTTCTTCCACTCGTAATTACTTTGAGAAAATCGCAAAAGAAAATAAATATAATAGGGTTTAGAGTGGAGAAAAGTCACACAGATGTGGTACTCTGCAATAGAAATGAAGGTCAGAATAATCCCAAACCTAATCTAACCCTAAACCTTACCTTAATTAGACTCGGAAGATTCCGAGTTGGGGTTATGGGAGCCTCCCTTCGTCAGTTACCCACAGGTTGCACTGCCTGACTGGTCTTTCTCTGGCGGCGGCGGAGGGGAGGGGGGGGTATACCGAACTGTGATTGGTCGATCCAAAATCATACCCACCAAACAACTTCAAAAAACTTCATGTGGCAGACTCTAGCACATGCATAATGAGTATAGTAACCAATAAATGAACAC